GCAGAAAGTCGGTGGAGAGGGAAGATAAGGAAGATAAGTCAGGAGAAAACAGGACTTTTTTGAATTACAAGAATGAAGATAGTGGAGCTGGAAAAGGTGTCGATCCTTTCTCAAAAGTGGGTGGTTGGGGTTCGAATCCCCTTCTCAGCAAGCATCAATGTTCTTTGTTTTTTTTTTCTTTCCCAATCTAACTCTAATGTAAAATTACAAAAATGCCCCTGAGCTAGTTTTCAAGCTTCAAAACATAAGACAAGTAAATTGTGTGGCCTGCCAGGACAGGAGTTTACAAACTTTATGAAGATATGTCCTCATTGCTCTGCATAGGAACAAACTTTATCAAACTTTTATTAAATTAAAATAAGAAATGCAAAGAGTTTAATTGAAGGATACAAGGAAATACAATCACACACAGCTAAGAAGAAAAAAATAATACTAAAAACACCCGGTTTAATTATTTTACCTGATACATAAATTTAATAGCTAAGAATTTAAAAAAGAATATTAAAATTGTAACTCATCGTCTGTTGACGTTCCGTCTGTTCACAGACCTTAAACTGCCAAGGGGAGGGAAATCATCTTTCTCAAGAAAAAAAGAAGAGTTGATATTCCGCTTCTTAGCACTCTTGGATTCAGTATGGTTAAGTTCGTCGTCTCGATGCAAGTTATGTTGGACTTGTGACTTGACTTGGAAATAGGAATAAGGATTTCCTTGTTCATCTTGCTGGATTTTTGATTTGGAAAAGGGAGAATGAACAATAGGTTTCATTTCCTGAAGCTCTGGATCGTGAGAAAAATTGTATGGAATCTTGCTATTATCCATTTTTCTGAAAGTAATTGAAATCCTGCAACGATAACAGAGTTTGAATAATCAGGAAGTACAAGTTAAGAAAACATGGTTGTGTTGTATGGAATGGGGAACATGACAGGATACCTTCTTGCTGGAACACCAGGTACACAATGCTTAGCAATGTCAGCTGCATTACCATTTAGAATAAGCACTGACCTGCACAACATGTGCATAACAATTAACAAATAATTAGAAAATCCAACACCTACATTCCTTACATATTTACTCCATTACAAGGCGATTCTATTCACTAGTACGACAAAATTTCGTAAGAGTTGACTATTGTGTAGGTGCGATGAGACACTCTTCTAATTCTATGTATCAATCAATATACAAATTTTTCTCTGGCTCTAACATGAATGTGTTATTTGATTGAAAAGTGAGGATGCATTTCATAAGGAATTTGATTGTATAAATACAAACAAATTAAACAATCAAAACAGAAGTGATCAATTGAGCAGAGAAGCAGTACAGAAAGCTTACCCAACAGGCAAAGGTAGAGAAACAGGTCCCGAAAACTCTCCTGGACCCACAACCTTTAGATTTGAACCAAAAAGTATATTGCATTCTGTCAAAAATGAAACCGTGCAGAAAGGTCTAACAAAATCATGGTGGTCAATATGAGGAGGAATACAATCCCCTTCATCGTATATATTCACAATGCAGCTGTCGGGGATGCATGTTGGAGGTAATATATGCCAACTGACCATCCTCTTTATCATTTGCTTGAACAAAGGGGGTAGGGGATCCACATCTTCATTTCTAACAATACCTGGAGGGTTCCCATTCCTATCCTGTAACGTTACACATAATAAGGTAATACTAATATAAATTGCAATTAAATCAAGTACTAATGGCAGAGAGAAAAGAGGAAGGTACCACTGCATAATTGTAACAACAACCAAATTGTATTGTTACACGTCCTTTACCCCGCATCCACTTTCTAGGTTCAGAATATGTCCGCTCTGCAAGATATACAAACAGAATGATAAGAAACGTCTTATTCATTTTGATTCGCATATATGTTAAACAATCCCAACAGCATGCTTTCATATCTTTTTCAGGATAGCTAATGGGTACAAATCATCCTATTAATAAAATACCAAGTTAGATCTAGTCAAATTGAGGTTCACCATGGAAATTCTGGTTTCTTATAGATATATTCCCCTAGAAATGCTATCTACGCATTAAATAGTTCAAAGAATTATCAAGTGCTATGGACAAAGTTAATCTCTCTACTAACTTCTGTTTCAAAAAGTACACGGAGAGGGTACTATAGAATCCATCCCAATCATCTAAACTATGATTTAACTAATCTTTTACCTAATTTTAGCACAATCTAGGAACACAAACAGTTGTCTGAAAAAAACCATATACCTCTAAGTTGTCCCCTTTGCCCCATACGTTGTAAATTGTAGACACATTCAACAATCTCCTTCTGCTCATTGGCATTAAAAACCTGAGTATGTAGCTCTAAGCCCTGTAGCACATTTGTTCGTCTACCATTTATCCTCTCAATGTGGATGAAGTCCTTCTGTCTCCCAACTTGTAATACTCGATTATGCTCGTTTGGATCCTCCAATAATCCACCACAAATGAAAGAGGAATCTCCTCTGGTTGCATCATTGAATAATACTGGAGAAGCTGAATGCTCAACTGAATTCCTTTTGTTGTTTATGGATGCGGGCCAAGAATTAGCACTGTACCCTCTCTGCGCTGATGAGTGGATAGGAATTGTTTGGGGCGGAGTGCACTCTTGTTGGTCAAACCTTTTATCACATGACTCCATACTAGCATTCTCCGATGACTGCGCAATTGGTGCATTCCCGGACTGGCTTGGTACATCCACAGCCCTTTTGTTATTATCACTAGAAAAGGATACATTACCTACTTTTTCTGCATATTTAACAAAAAAGGAAAGGATTAATTGGTTATAATGGGATATGCTAAACCACCTTAACATTACCCTAATTGGGAAAAAAGCTCTCTTGTACAACCTAGGCCTAGCTATTCAAATATAACCTAGAAACCCCAAACACACTGAATTAGGCATCAGCATTTATTTTAATTCAAATTACACAAAGAATTAAACAGAAGAAAGTAAAAGATACCATCTTTAAGTTTCCTTGGATTATAGTGGGAAGAAAGGAATAGACTAAAAACAGAAGTTATTCATTAAAAGAAAAACAACCCTAATTAGCATCAAATCCTAATCACTCCTAAGAAATTCAAAAGGACATAAGAAGAGATGAGAAAATACACCATTCCTGATCATAATTCTTTAATAACAACAACAACAACTCTCTTATTGTTTTGGCAAAAACCCATCTGACAAAACTTCCAAAATGCTGTTCATTTCTTACTGTGAATTCGATCCTTCAAGAGGACTTGGCAGTTTTTGCAAAACCCATCTGACAAAACTTGCAAAATTTGGTCGCGTTCTAAAGTCCTCAGCAAACTCATGCAGTCTTGGCCGGCAGCGGCACTGGACTCTTCTCCAGTCATCATCGTGATGATGATCAGTAACTATTTGATATGAAACTCCGGAGAAGAGAAATTTAAAGAGAAAAAGAAAAAGAAAGATGAGAGAAAAAGAAGAAGAGAGTTTCAGTTTTGGAAGAGAGAATTTACTGGATGACTGAAAGAGGAGATGCGCTAAGTGGTTAAACATGTTGACTTGAGATTTGTGTTTGTTTTGACTGGGAAAGACTTGAGTTTCAAGTCTTCCTCCTCGCCAGGCAGGGGCCCTCGGGGGCTGTCCGGGGTAAACTCTCTCTTTTTTATTGGAAAAGGATGTTTCTCGACTAGACCCGGTGAGCGAATCAGAATTTAACTTGTCAATCCATATGTGATTAAATCAGAGTCCGATCATAATAGGATTCCGAACCTCTGCAGATATTTGCATTTATTTGTATTTCGCTGTATCTTGGCCGTTTTAATAATCTAATTAATGCATAACACATCAACAAACATGTATTTAACTTAATCTAATTTTTTATTATCTTCGTTATAGTAACGGCCGGTTCGGGGTTTGGTATGACAATATCATTTCCTTTCCCGCTCTTCATCCCCGATAAAGAATTTTCGTAGAATCCCCATTCCCGTACCCGTCGGAAATTGTCTACCAAACTCGCCCTAAATTCCTGAATTTTTTATTTTTTAAAAAAAAGTATTTATCTTACATGGAAAAACTTTCTATGTGTTCAACGCTTGGTCAACATGGAAAATTCATAGCAATATGTATTTGAGCAGAAGAAGATTGGAGAGAAGAAAGTTAAGAGAAGAAACCAGAATCTCAGGCTTGTATTGAAACTCTCTTCTTACCAAGTTTACAAGCCTAAACTCCTTGACCACTCACTAAGCGAAACTGTTACAACCTACTTAACAAACTAACACACTAACATAACAGCAGCCTATATTGTTTATTGAATGTGTCATTAGATATTAACATCCAACAATTTTGTATGTAATGCCCAAGCAAATGTCTATAATTTTCACATAAAAATGATTGTAGAAAATTGTCATTAGGGTAACCTTTTTGCTTGTTATATTGTATTATATTTTAATTTAGAAAATTAAATAATATCATTTATCTCCCCGAGTATGGGATAACAATATCATCCCAACCCGTCCTCAATAAGGAATTTTTTAAATTTGGGGATCCTACCATACTGTACGAATAGAATAGCCCATTTATACAGAAAGGTAAAGAGGCCCTCCCGATTTTTCCCCAAAACGACCTGGGACCATACTCGGCGGGGATTTTTACCATCCATTCTACCGTTATCTCCCCCCTCCCCCAAATTATCAACTCCTCCATCTCCTCTCCATTCTTATATCCTACTGTGACAAATTTGTTCTTAAGAAATTAGGCTTATTATGCCATTAACAACCCCAATAAATTTACCTTTTATAAGTCATAAATACTGGCTTGAGGCACTTGTGAATTTTGATGGGAAAAAACAAAGAAGCAATCACCGCGGGAGACAACATTAAATTTGATTTCTCTGGGCCTGGAAGTGGGAGAAAAGGAACTTGGGCTGGGATTTAAAATTCAATCGTAGTCGTTGATTTTATCCAACGATGCAAATCTCAATTCCGGAACTAATATCCTTCCTCCTCCAAGTCAGACATGCTCATCCCTCCATCTGTCTCACCCTCAGTCCCTCGCAAGCTTGCAAAAATGGAGGTGTCGTCGGTACATGGTGTCGGTGTCCAACATGTCCTCTGCGGCCCTTCACCCATTTCTTCTCTCTCTATTCTCTCTACGACTCCATGGAGGAGCACAAGAGATAAGAACTCTCATCTCTGTTGTGCCACAACTCTTGTCAAAGAACGCCACACTGAGCCTCCCAACAATGGCAGCGGAATCCCAAAGCGGCACTCCAAGCAATACTTGGCTAGACAGTCTGCTATTCTTGAGGTCCAAGATTCCTCTGACTTGGACTCGGCTCTTACAAGGTCCTTTTCCGGTTTTTTCTAAACACATTTAGATTGTTGAGTTTTTCTTCCAGGTGATTGATGAATTTTAAGTTGAATTAACATCTGGGTTTAGTGGTTGGTAGCAAAATTTGACTGTTTGATTGTTTTGTTTGAATTGCAAGTAAATTGGCTATTATACTGTCTTGTAATTTTTTTCATTTTAATTGCAAGTAAAATTTGACTGTTTGATTGTTTTGTTTGACTGTTTCGGCATATTTACAGACTTTGCTTCATGGACTACAGTTTTTAATTGAAACTTGAACTGGGTTTTCTAAGTAGTGGCTGCATTGTGTTTTTTCTTATATATATATTTTTGTGGGTCAATCTGATTCTTGTGATTATGAAGTGTTTATTCTCGAAAACAATTTGGTTTTTATTTTTCACTGACATCATTCAGTTTATAGTGGAGTCAAAGATTCAGTATGTGTGTTTTATACATATGATGAGCTATTATCCTTCCAAATTCCGAAATTAACTTAACTAGTGTTAAGGACATTGAATACTTTGCCAAAAAGAATGTGCTATCATTATTTCAGAGCATAGTTTAAATGTATTCTGAACTGATATGCTAATATTTTTTGAGATTGGGAAATTTTCATGTTCATGTCATCTGATTTTCATTTTTCATCTGTTTTTTTTTTCTCCATGAAATGATTCTGGGCTTTAAAGTAATCTTTTTTTGGTTCGCTATACTGGTTTATCCTAAAAAATAATTGAAAATATTATTTAAAGTGTGTAACCCCTTTGTTCTTCATGCCTCAGATATCTACATTATATATTCTCTAATTTTACTGAAAGTTACCCATGCATATTTTTTCGTTCTTCTTTCCATTTTCATGGAGGGACTGTTTAAGTTGCTATTAGTGGTGTCTCTATACATGGTTGTTCCTATCTGTATTTGGGAAATGCCTGTCTTTTACGTTATTCTTGAATTCTAGCAGTATTCAGTACTAGAAGGGATGCTGTGGTGAATTTACTTTTCTTTACTTTTTGCTTTTTTCTTTCTATTTAATTTATTCACAGATGGCTTTCTGAACACGTTAGTTAGAAGCTTGCCTTCATCCATTAAGCTGATGTTTTAGTGATGTGGTATAGCTTAGGATTATCTGCAGCATAATGATTAGGTGACTGTTCCAGTAGCATTGAGGAATTCCTTTTTTGGTTGACGAAACAAGAATTGTAATTGGATTTTAGACTTGTTTTGCAATACCGAAGTTTCAGTTTTTGTGATATTGTATTTAATTGATTCTTCCAATCTTGAAGTAATCTTTTTATGTGTGCAACATCTATTCTGTTATATAGTGTAACTCACATTATATTTTTCCCTCAGATTAGGTGGGAGTTTGAAGGTCCAAGACTTGAATGCCATAATACGCCATTTTGGGATACTGAAAAGATGGCACGATCTTTCTCAGGTTCTATGAATTAACGAAACATAATATGATGTTCTTCCCTTTGACGTGTTTTTGAATGGTCAACCTAACTTATTTAGTTTCTGTATCCAGTTGTTAATATTTTGATATGTTTACAATTGTTACAGCTCTTTGAATGGATGCAACAGAATGGAAAAATTAGTGCATCATCCTATAGCAGCTATATAAAATTCATGGGAAAGAGCCTCAATCCTGTAAAGGCACTAGAAATATACAATAATATTCAAGATGCATCAATCAAAAAGAATGTTCACATATGCAATTCTGTTCTTGGTAGTCTGACCAGGAGTGGCAAATTTGATGGAAGCTTTAAGTTATTTCACCAGATGAAGCAGGATGGTTTAACACCAGATGCTGTCACATACAGTACGGTATGCATTTCAATGTATCATATTGCAATTGGTTTTGTTAGCATTTCAAACAAAAGTTGTTTTCTCATATAAAATGATAACAGACAGAGTTGATGGTGCTGAATCTTAATCAAGGAGGAAATTCAATGATAAAATAGACAGAATTAAATTACTATTTTGTGGGGGATTAGAGATAGTTTCCCACTGACATTTGATTCATCCATTCAGTTTTATAAAGCAAACAGATAAACAATTTATCAGATAGGAGGACAAAGTTAGATAGAGCAAGAATAACATTAAGATCTATGAAAGAAGAATAATAACATTAAGGAATGCAAAATGATTGTTAATCGTTGTAACTCAAGACAATTAACAGTTATCATAGATGAAGGAAATAAATAAATAAAAATCGAACACCAACACATATAGATGTTAATTTTGTGAATACCGCTTCGTTTTTTTCAAGTACATTGTTATATACCAATGTGCAAGTATATTGTGAAAGACAAAAAAGGATAAAACTATTCCAGTGACATTTTATACCGTCTCTATGAAGAACATATCAAAGATTGTAAGTTGTCATAATTAGCATAATAATACATTAATTTCATCAATGAAATTAGAAATGTTTAATACCATCTCGCAGCAGTAGATGTTAGTTTTCTGAAGCTCCCTTGTTTTTCTGATAAGCAAAACTGTTCAATACTGGTTACTTATTCATATATTCGACCTTCATTAATATTAATCTACTGTCATGCTAGCTCCTTGCAGGCTGCAACAAAGTCAAACATGGTTATTCTAAGGCATTAGAACTTGTTCAAGAATTGCAGCGCAATGAGCTGCAGATGGACAGTGTAATTTATGGTACACTTTTAGCTGTATGTGCTTCTAATAATAAATTAGAGGAAGCAGAAGGTTATTTTAAGCAGATGAAGAATGAAGGCTATTTACCAAATGTCTTTCATTATAGCTCTATGCTTAATGCTTATTCTATAAGTGGGAACTACAAAGAGGCTGATGATTTGGTTCAGGATATGAAATCTGCAGGGTTAGTACCTAATAAGGTTTGTTCATGTTTAACTACCATATATGATTCCCTCTCTTTGAAGCTTTCTATTAGTAGTTGTTTATGTTAGTGATATATGAATATGTAACTTAAATAAAAGTGCTGACATAAGTATTGTGTAGTGGATTTAGTTTTTAGGTATTAGATTAAGATAATTAATAATATACATTGATGATGATATTTGTTGGTTTACCACTATTCCCAAAAGCATAAGCTATTAGGACGACAATTACACTATATTCTTCCGTTCAGCCTCATATGCGGGCCTCCCTACACCACTGGGAAGTTGCAATTGAGTAATTGGAACTCAGGATCTCCTGCTTTGGTACCATAATAATGTTTGCTAGTTTACCACTGTTCCAACAATTATTTTATCCTCTAACAACGTGTAGATCAGTGAACAATATCCTCTACTTTCAAACATTACTTTCAAACATTTGTCTTTTCTTTTAATGAGATTATGCTTCTTATCCTCTGACAACGTGTAGATCAGTGAACAATATCCTCTACTTTCAAACTTTTGTCTTTTCTTTTAATGAGATTATGCTTCTTATCCTCTGACAACGTGTAGATCAGTGAACAATATCCTCTACTTTCAAACTTTTGTCTTTTCTTTTAATGAGATTATGCTTCTTATCAAAAGAATATAGTAATGTTTATCAGTTCCTTCTATTGATTGGTAGAATTTTGCTTATGTAAGCCTGAGAGATTAATGTATAGCAACCAATCAGTTTGGTTGCAGTTTTCTTTAGATGTTTTTGCAGTGTCTCGTTCACAAATTGTAACATAAGTGCTGTTTATTTTAGCAAAACATTAAATGGGGGCCTTATTGATGCTTCTATTTGTAACTGCTGATTATTTGCCAAATTTTTACATAGCTTCTAGACTTTAGTGATAATGTCTTCTGTCCTACTGCAAATGCTTGCAGGTTATTTTGACAACTTTATTGAAGGTTTATGTCAGAGGTGGGCTGTTTGAAAAATCAAGAGAACTATTAGCTGAACTGGAAAGTTTGGGTTATGCTGAAGATGAGGTACACTAAGATCATTCCAACTAAATTGTTAGTTTAAAATCCAGGATTTATCTACTTTGACACTGCTATGGTTTCTCTTTGGAAATAGTTCTTTAGAGCTAAACAGGGGAGCTTATGAAATCTCAAAAGTATTTAATTTTATGATATCATCTAACAGGTTAAATATGAAACTAACAAAAACAAATTGAGGCCAACAATTTGGTTTGACTAATAAATACCATGAATATTAATCTCTTGTAGATGACATTTGTAATTTCATTTCCTTGTGAAACTTTGTTTGTTTGCTTGCACAGATAGTATTAACTTTTGTCACATTGCCTAGAAATTGAGTCCCTTGAGTCATTCCCTGAAATACCATGAATATTAACTTTTCTTGGAAAATTGATACAAGTGCATTTATGCTCTGTCATTTGCATTTTCTTAGTTCTTTAAATTATCTCATCAAATTAAGTCTATTTGTAGATGCCATACTGCTTATTGATGGATGCCCTTGCTAAGGCTGGGCGCATACGTGAAGCTAAATTGGTTTTTGATGAAATGAAGGAGAAGTCCATCCGATCAAGTAAGTTTTGTTAGAGACAAATCCTCAAGCTTTTATGTTTCTCCAAATATGCATATTATTATATGTGACACTCAATGCACGAAAAGCCTCTGGGCCAGCTGAATGATGTCAAGTCTAGCTAATGATGTCATTTATTGTTGTTTCCCTATTCTCCGTAATGTCTTCCACTTTCAATTTGGAGAAAAAATCTTTAAATTTGAATACAAGGTCATTATGCAAGACAAATCTTGTGCATGGGTCCCTTTTGCAGAAAAATAAGTGACGTATGGAAGAAGTGCAAATGGTTTTGGAGGTTTGGTAGATGCTTGAGTGAATATTTGTATTTCTTGCAGGATTTTTCTTACTAGCAGAAGTTTAATCTTCTGTCTTTATGCTGAAAATTTATGTTTTTTTCCCCCTTGCAGATGGCTATTCATACAGTATCATGATTTCAGCTTTCTGCCGAGGTGGGCTTCTGGAAGATGCAAAGCAGTTGGCTAAGGATGTTGAAAGAACTCATGACAAATTTGACTTGGTTATGTTGAATACAATGATCTGTGCCTATTGTAGAGCAGGTGAAATGGATAGTGTAATGGAAATGTTGAGAAAAATGGATGAACTAAAAATCACTCCTGATTATAATACCTTTCATATCCTAATAAAATACTTCTGTAAGGAGAAGTTATACCTGCTTGCTTATCAGACCATGGAGGACATGCACAACAAGGGACACCAACCAGATGAGGTATAATGTTCTTTCAAGATGCATATTCCTGATTATACTTGTTGAACTAAACCATTTTACTTTCTTGATCTCAAATAAAGGAAATAAAACAAAGAACCAGCTTCTAGATTTGAACATTACTACGACTGTAGGAATTGATCTTTTCGAGAAGTGCTAGTTAGGCAGCAGCTTAGTTGATAAAGTCCTTTGGCATTTAAAAGGGATGGGTGAGCACTACCCTTGTATTGTCTTTTGCATTGGCGCATCAGGCCTTTAATAGACCAAAGAAAAAGAAGAGATCTCTGAGAAAAAAAGTAGGGAACCCAGCTGTTGGAGCTTCTATGCACGAAAGATGCAGGGCTTTGGATCTTAGTTATAGTTGTTGTTTTATTTGAACACTGAATATTGCAAGTGTAAATGTTTGCAACTTGAGCGCTGGATGATTTTTGATCCATTTAATGAGATAATCTATTTGCGAGCTGGAGCATCTGATGGGGATCACATAGATTATTATTATTATTTTGCCTTATGCTACTTTTACGCTTATCATTGTATTAGTTTGTGAAAGTTTGGGTTTGATTAGGGTTCTTTAAACATGATGCTTGGGTCTTGGGTTGGGGATGGGGGTCAGTGATAAAATTACTACCTTTTTAGCTTCATGTTGCCTTCCAGGTGATAATCTTGAGCCATTAAAGGTAGCATATATGGTATATTACCTAATGTTGCCAACATGCTCATCGACAGTTAGATCCAAATTCAATAAGATACTACTCTATGGGGATTGAATATGATCTTTTAGATTTTTTATCTATGGCTTGTGAGCATGAATTGTCTTCTCACGGGTGAGTAGGAGATCAAAAGTGGACATATATATGTGTGTATATATAAATAAAATAATTCTTAGGAGGGTGCTGTTTGTGCCATGGCTCAAATTTATGTCTGTTTTTTGTAAGTATTTTAGTTCAGTCCCCACATGGTTTATTACTTTTTAAGTGTAAAGTTGCAGTTTGAGGCTTAGGGTTTAGCCCTTGGATTTGGGCTTTACAATATTTCTATTTATCAGTCTTCTCTTGTATTGGGCTTAAGGTTTATCACTGTTTTGCTCCTTGTCCACAAGTATATTCTTTACTTATGCATACATGCAAGAACTCCTAGTTTTGAAACAGTGGTATCTTGTGATAAAAATTGGTAAACCAACTTCAAAATAACACTATGCTGTATTTCAGGAACTTTGTTCCTCCTTAATGTTTCTTCTTGGTAAGATAAGAGCATATTCAGAAGCATATTCTGTTTACAATATTCTGAGATATAGCAAGAGGACAATGTGCAAGGCCCTTCATGAGAAGATTCTGCACATTCTACTGGCAGGACAGCTTCTCAAAGATGCTTATGTAGTAGTCAAGGTTAGCTATATAGTTTTGAAGATACCTTTCTTCTTTGCGTAACTCACAACTTTTTGTTGAAGCGTTTTTTTTTTTTTTAATGTTCAGGACAATGCAGGGTTGATTTCTAAGCCTGCTGTTAAAAAGTTTTCAACTGCCTTTCTGAAGTTGGGAAACATCAACTTGATAAATGATGTGTTGAAGGTAATTGATGCTTCTGGCTGCAAGATTGATCAGGTAAATAATCATGGGTGTCAATAAGTTGGTTCAGAATGTTTTTACTTTTTTCTAGAAGCACTTGCTTCTGACTTTCAGATTATAGGCATGCATATTTAGAAGATTGATGAGACATGGACACATTTGTGGTGGTGTGGGTGAGTCATCAAGGCACGCTTCGCTGCTAACAAACTCTACCTCCCAGGGAGGGAGGGATTCTTATCTGGGATTTTATTCAATTGAAGTGAGATAAGGGAGGGAGCAATTCCTGTGGTGGATTTTATTTACCTTTTTGTTCCTTATTTCTTTAATTATTTGTACAAGTGAGAAAAATATTTTCTTAGTGAACCCCCAGTGCATGGGGTGTAGGGGTTTACATGAGGAACACCTAGTAGTGGTGAAAATCTTTAATGCATGTTAGATCCTTAGTGGAAGCTTTTGGCATATCTCTTCTGTTCAGCTTTGACAGTTTGAAATCATAGCTCCCTTTCCTTCCTGCATTCCACAGGGACTATTTCAGATGGCCATATCACGCTATATCGCACTCCCTGAGAAAAAGGAATTGCTTATTCAAATGCTACTGTGGATGCCAGGACAAGGTTATGTTGTTGATTCAGCTACAAGAAACCTAATACTGAAAAACTCTCACTTATTTGGTCGCCAACACATTGCGGATGTACTGTCGAAGCAACATATGATTTCAAAAGCTTCAAAATCTCGTAACAAGGATAACTTGGTTTGACATCCGTGGAAATTCCAGGTATCTTCCATCATAGCTCAACATTTTGTGAGAAAAACAGTGCAATTTGATGGTTGAGGTCAACACTTGGCACTGTCAAGTATAACTTGTCTTCAGAAATATGAGCCAGTTGCTTGGCGTATTACAGCCGATGCTTCTTTGACTGGTTTGTCTGACCCTCAGTACAGTACACAAATTGAATATTAAGTGTATAACCTTTCATGCATGTAACCAGATGCTGTAATTCAGTCATAATCTATATATATTTATCCAATTTTTATTAGTGGATATCAGTAAAGCTTTGACTACTGAATGGGGTTACAGGGAGACTATAAGAAACTTACTGTCCCCAAATTTCTTTTCCTCTTCTTCCTACTGAGGGGACTATATAGACTATAAATTTACCCGTTTTTCTCCTCTTAGTGGCAATTAGTAAAACTTTGACTACCAAACGAGGTGTAGTGAATATAACAAATCAGTTGTCCATGTGTGGTTTTTTTCCTTTTCTTTTTTCTTCTTACAACCCTGTTAATAATCTTAAATAAGGGGATACAGTGGGTATAGAGTTTGTGCATGTTGGACACTCGTGGTCACGATTTTGCCATCATTGGCTCCTCTCTCCCAACCTTGTTGAAGACAGGACTGGTTTTAAGAATTAAAAATTATGTTTATTATCAAACTATATCGTAGAGATCATATATGGTTACAACACTTTGGATCTCAAAATTTTGGGACCTCATCGATTGGATACAAGTACGTTCTGTCTGACCATGCATTTCTTTCTGTTGGGTCGATATCCGAAATGCATTTCCAAATTGCGCTGTTACACTTGAAGCCACTTCCAAAGGCAATTTGCCAAACCTGATTTCCTTTCTTCATTCTTCCTTTTGCCTCCAAATAGCAGAGTTCATACCAAATGGAAGAAGATGAAGTATTACCAAATCTATGTAATGTCATCCTTGAAGCTTCTCCATCTTCCTTGTCCAGCCTGAGACTATCTACTATTCCATCAATCACTGCCCTTCCACCAGCATGTATACAGAAATGCTGGAGAGCCCTATTGAAATTTGGCGCATAAATTTTCTTCTGGCTCGGTAATAACAAGACTTTTTTGTGGATGATTGACCATACATATCGTAGCTGCTCAGAATATGGTAGCACTAGAGGTCCCAACTTGGATATGTTAGTTCTGAGAGCATTTGTTGCCACAGGTATAAGAGCCCGTGACAGTGAGACCCCTACATGTCCAGCTTCATCGAGTTGCTGGAAGACAGATTGGTATGCTTCATCATCCGAACCAATGTGGGTTCGGACAATGTGCTGGAGCTCGTACTTAGCTATTCGCTTGTCCCTTTTCCTGCTGGATAATAGAATAGCAGCTCCTCCCATCCGAAACAAAAGGTTCGGAAGAAGCATGGATTTTTTGGTACCCATATAACCATTAGGAGTCACAGCTTCCATGCTGAGAACTAAAGCCAAGGAGTTCTGGTGAACTTTTAGCAGATCTTTAGCCAAACTTATAGACAAGATTCCAGCACTGCAACCCATTCCACTGAGGTTGACGCTCTTTATGTTGCTTCGGAATCCAAACTTGTTTATGACCATAGATGTAATGGACGGGGTAGGGCAGAAAAGGCTACAGTTGGACACAAGAATGTCGATGCTTTTAGGATTTATTTTGTGCTTGGAAAGAAGGTCTTTGACGACTGAGAAGAGAACCATTTCAGTTTCTTTTCTAGCAGCGTGCAAAGAAGAATGAGGAGGGAGCTCATGCAGCGCAATAGGCATGCAACTCTCATCTCCAATTCCTGATCTTTCCAATACCTTCACTTGGAAACTGTAGGTTTCTTTGTCGTAGAGTTTACTCATTTCAATGTGTTCGATGTAGCTTTCTTTTGCAATCCGCAAGCTTTCTGGAGGCCGATAGCAGGTGAAGTCGATAAGGTATGTACTCTTAGATCTAGATGTAAAACAGAGAACCACTATTATCAGAACAGTTGCAGCTAAGAAATGGGTGAGGGAGACTGGAGATTCAGGAATGATAGATGAAAAGGATCTAAGCAGTGCAGTCTCCATGTCAACTTGTTGGGCAGGGTTAACTAGGAGTTTGATTTGATATTTCTGCTTATATATTAAGAGGAAAGAAAGTTTGAGTAACTTTCTAATGTTTAATCAAAATTTAGCAATATGATCAAGACACACAATTCGGCCCAAGAAACTGTCGCAACAACATTTGTGTTTCATCACTATTGCTTCTCACCTAGATTCATGTAGAGTGCATTTTACTTGTGCTGTTGAAAAGAACCCTGGGAGATAAAAAGCAGCTTTTCATATTTAATAAAATCATAACCTCAAACAACCTTTTATTTAGTGTATAGAAGATAATGGCATCATTAGAATATGCAAATTTTCTTACTTTTTTAGGGAGCATCTTCAATCATGCTCCCTATTTTGAAGTTAAAGATTAGATAAAACGACTAAAAGGTTATTTTTGGAGCTCCTTTATCCTCCGAATCCTCCTAGTTTAGGAGTTATAATGACTAAGAGCCAATATGATTAAAGTTAATATTTAGAATAATGTTAAAATAATGATTATTAATTATAAAGAGCCATTAGGAGTTTCTTTCTCTCTCTTCATATCTAGGAGGAGATCCTAGAGGTGTTCCTATTTTAGGAGCTAAATAGGGAGTATGGTTAGAGTTGCTTTTTTTCGACTTCTATTAGAGATGCTCTAACTTATCCACAAAAATCCAACTCTAAAGTCCCAAGTTAACTGCCAATCGTTTTCTCTGGATGGTTGCATTTCATGGGTAAAGGCAATCTCTAGTTTGTTCAGTCACAACGTTTTCATGTGCATAAGATGAAACCTCTTCACTTGAGAACTCCAATTTTGCATGAAACAACCAATCGCACCATAATATTGGCTGTGGAAAAATGCCCAGAACTTGAAACAAGGGACCTTAAAAGAATCTTCCCATCATAGTTTTCCCCACCATCAATTAATTGGAAATTAAATCTATTGCTTATCTAAAAAGGTTGGGGGAAGGCATTAACATGTGAGTGAAGTAACATTGATTTGTAAAGGGTAGTGATTTCGGCACTCTCACTTTAGCTTTGCTACGGCATCCCTTTGCTTCTAGAGAGTTTTGAGTACTTGATTTTTTATTTATTTATTTATTTTTTTTTTGTGTGAAAGTACTTGAATTATTTCATTGCACTAGATTAATGGCTTCTGCAAAATCATATTGTTATCACCAATTTTGCTTGTTTTCGGTCTATTTGTTGCTTCTAAAAGTTAAAACCCTGTGATGGATGGGAATGAAAAAAATCGCCTGTTGTGCAATTATAAAAGTTAATGATATGGTATGAGCATTTGAAGATCTAATTAAGAACTTTAAACCAGTAAACCAGAAAGACAATGTCGGATATGGAATCGATGCGAAGAAGGTAAAACATGAAACTTTTCTTGGATTGAAAATGGATAAAATACAACTAATTAAGAACTTTAAACCAGTAAACCAGAAAGACAATGTCGGATATGGAATCGATGCGAAGAAGGTAAAACATGAAACTTTTCTTGGATTGAAAATGGATAAAATACAACTAATTAAGAACTTTAAACCAGTAAACCAGAAAGACAATGTCGGATATGGAATCGATGCGAAGAAGGTAAAACATGAAACTTTTCTTGGATTGAAAATGGATAAAATACAACAAAGGTTAAATAAAATTACAACAGCAATTCAGAACATCTTAGTTAAGGGTGTCATTCTGAGTAGGATAGAAATGGATGCAATCAGACCATGCATTTCTTTTTGTTGGATCAATATCTGAAATGCACTTCCAAATTGCGCTGTTACACTTGAAACCACTTCCAAAGGCTATTTGCCAAACTCGGTTTCCTTTCTTCAACCTTCCTTTTGCCTCCAAATAGCAGAGCTCATACCAAACTGAAGAAGATGAAGTATTGCCAAATCTGTGTAATGTCATCCTTGAAGCTTCTCCATCCTCCTTGTGCAGCTTCAGACTGTCTTCTATGCCATCAATCACTGCCCTTCCGCCGGCATGTATACAGAAATGCTCAAGCGCCTTCTTGAAATTCGGCACATAAATTCCCTTTTTGCTTGGTAGAAACCAAAGTTTCTTGCAGATCACTGACCATGCGTAGCGGAGCTGCACCGAATATGGTAGCACAAGTGGCCCCAACTCTGACATGTTACTTCTTAGAGCCTTTGTTGCCACACGTAAAAGTGCTCGTGATAACGAGACCCCAACATGCCCTGCTTCATCAGGCGTCTGGAAAACAGATTGGTAAGCCTCATCATCCGAACCAATGTGGGTTCGGACAAGATGCTGGAGCTCATACTTAGCTATTCGCTTATCTTGCTTCCTGTTCGATAATAGGATAGCAGCTGCTCCCATCCGAAACAAAATGTTGGGAAGAAGCATGGATTTCATTCTACCCCCATAGCCATTGGGAGTTACAGCTTCCATGCTGAGAACTAAGGCCAAGCAGTTCTTGTGAACTTTTAAAAGATCTTTTGCCAAACTTATCGACAAGATTCCGGCACTGCAACCCATTCCACTGAGGTTGATGCTCTTTATGTTGCTTCGGAATCCAAACTTGTTTATGACCATAGATGTAATGGACGGTGTGGGGGAGAAAAGGCTACAGTTTGACACAAGAATGTCGATGCTTTTCGGATTTATTTTGTGCTTGGAAAGGAGGTCTTTGACAATAGTGAAGAGAACTGTTTCAGTTTCATTTCTAGTAGCTTTTAAAGAAGAATAAGGTGGGATCTCATGCACTGTAATAGGCATGCAACTCTCTGCTCCAATTCCTGATCTTTCCAACACCTTCGTTTGAAAATCGACACTTTCTCTGTCATGCATTCCAGATATTTCAATGTGCTCGATGAAATTCGATGTTGGAACGCGCAAGCTATCGGGAGGCAGATAGCAGGTGAAGTCTATAAGGTATATACCGTTGGATCTGAAATGAAAATAGAAAGCCGCGGCAATGACCAAAACAGTTGTAGCTAAGAAATTGGTGAGGAAGATTGGAGATAATTCTGCAGCGAGAAATGAGAAAGACCTAAGCAATGTAGTCTCCATGTGAAGTTCTTCGAAGGAGTTTGCTTTGATATTTTTGCTTATCATTTAATTTAAGCAGCCAATGAGGACGTTTGAAAATATTTCCAATGTTCAATCAGTTTTGATCAACATAGATGCTTTATGCAACTCTTCGTTGCGTTTGCTTATGTCTTTTTTATATATTTTTTTATTGATGTTGAGTGTGTTTTGCAATCATGGCCAAAGGTGAGATTTTACACAGAAACAAGCTAAAACTTTGTGATGATAAGATTAAGATTGTACCCTCCTAAGTGCCTAATTTGTCTTTCTTCTGTTGATGGTTGCGTTCTGTTGGTAAAGGCAATGTCTAGTTTGTTTGATCACAAAGTTTTTATGTGCAGACAACTAAAAAGCCTTGTATAACTTGGCAACCTCCAATTTGCGTCAAGTAACAAAGCACTCCAATCTCCAGTGAAAGAAATGCTCTATGCTCAAGACATGCAATGTCCAGTAAATTGAGGAAGCTTGGACTAAGCCAAACTGATCTAAGGGTTCTGATATAATAAGGGTTCAGAGAAATATAAGATAAACTGATGTAAGGGTTCTGATATATAAGCAAAAATAATCTAAGGGTTCTGATATTGCTTGGCTCCGGCAAGTAGCTAAAAATCAGACTGATTCTGATACATTTAGGAATTTGGATATGAATATGAATTTGGCTTCCATAAGGTTGCATTCTTATTTTTGCACTTTGAGATTATTTATACTTCTTTCTTCTAGCAAGGGAAATGTCTGTCTATACTTGCTATCTCCTTTTTGAGATGATTTAAAATGGAAAATGTAATGCTGTGATTCCGATGGATGTTTACAACACATTGGATCTCAAAATGTTGCATTTGGGATCTCATTAACAGGATAGGAATCGACTCTGTCTGACCAGGCATTTCTCTCCGTTGGATCAATATCCGAAATGCATTTCCAAACCGCACTGTTACACTTGAAGCCATTTCCGAAGGCGATTTGCCACACTGGGATTCCCTTCATCACCCTTCCTTTTGCCTCCAAATAGCAGAGCTCTTACCAAACCAAACATGATGAAGTATTACCATTTATGAAATGTCATCCTTGAAGGTTCTCTATCTTCCATGTGCAGTTTGAGACTATCTACTATGCCATCAAGAACTCCTCTTCCACTAGCATGTATACAGAAATGCTCAAGCGCCTTCTTGAAATTCGGCGCATAAGTTCCCTCATGTCTTGGCAAAAGCAAAAGTTTCTTGCGGATCACTGACCATCCATATTGGAGCTGCTCTGTATATGGTAACACAAGTGGCCCCAAGTCCGACATGTTATTTCTTAGAGCTTTCACTGCCACATGTAAAAGTGCCCATGATAGTGAGACCCCTACATGCCCTGCTTCATCAGGTTGCTGGAAAACATATTGGTATGCTTGATCATCCGAATCAATGTGTGTTTGGACAAGATGCTGGAGCTCATACTTAGCTATTCGCTTGTCTTGCTTCCTATTCGACTCTGGAATCCAAACTTGTTCAGGATCACAGAAGTAATGGACGGCATAGGGCAGAAAAGGCTACAGTTTGACACAAGAATGTCAATGCTTTTGGGATTTATCTTATGCTTGGAAAGAAGGTCATTGAAAACAGTGAAGAGAACCATTTCAGTTTTTTTTGTAGTAGCACCCAAAGAAGTATCCACTGGGATCTCATGTAGTGAAACAGGAATACAACTCTCTACCCCAATGCCTGATCTTTCCAATACCTTCGCTTGGAAACTGATACTTTCTTCTTCAACCAACTTATCTGTTTCAATGTGTTCGATGTAATTCAATTTTGTAACTCGCAGGATATCAGGAGGGCGGTAGCAGGTGAAGTTGATAAGGTATATACATTTGCTTCTGAACAGAAAATAGATAACTGCAATGATCAAGACAGTTGCAGCTAAGAAATGGGTGATGGAAATGGGAGGTTCTGTAATGATAGATGAGAAACATCTAAACAAGGAAGTCTCCATGTCAACTTGTTGCCTTGTTGGAAGGGATCAACTTGGGTATTTTTTTCTTTGGTATGTTTTCTTATGTATATAAATAGCAGGCAATGAGGAAGTTTGAAAATCTTTATAACACTGAATCAAATTTAAGAGGGAGAAGTTTTGTGTGCAGCTCTTTGCACCCTCTCTCACAGATTAAAATGAGGCAAGAAAAGATCAGAAGAAAAGTTGTATATTATCACTTTTACCAACTTACCTTAGAGTCATGCATACTGCATTTTACTTATGCTGTTGAAAGCTACTTTGAGCTCATGAATGTGACATTAAGATGTTTAGCGCCAATAAATTCGTAAGCTCCTTAACAACTATGAAGAGAAAGTGTACATACTTTTACTTTTTCTTTCTTATGATGTTTGATACAGTTTTGCAAGAGTTCATTGCTCACTAGCCCCTCTTAATTGTGTCATGTGTTGTATAATATAACCATGGTTCATATAGTTTATATTACATGATACGTATACATACCGGTCCCCATTGATCTCATCTTCAAACAAACAACATTCAGGCTATTAATTATGCAATGGATTTCCTTACAACAATAATTGACAAGAAAAATGGCCCGAGCCTCTACACATCACTTCAACAATAATTGAAATCTAATGTCTTGTATTGTTTTTAACTCAAATGATGTTATACCATTTGCATAAAATATTGCATATCAAAAGCTTCTACATAACCAGCCACCTATTCATCTTGCCAATGTTTTAAGTAATTTGAATGCAAGCAGACCATAACACAACCTCATGTGAGTGGGCAAAAAGTGGAACTAGCCCATATACAAATACAAGTTAGAAGATTGAGCAAACGCACAGTTTATAAACAAATCACAGAGGAACTGAAAAAGGAAAATGACATTTCAACCGTTGATAGTTATAAGTTAAAATGAGCGGCCTAGATGTTAAAACCCTTAATAAACCCGCGTATCATATCAATCATATCTGTTTTCCCTTGTCAGAAGAAGGATTGAGAAGGAGGCTGCCTTGCCTTCATTGAATTTGCCTCCTTCCTTCCTCCATTACTGCAACTCTAAATCTCAACAAGAACAACCCAACCCGCTTTAAGGTATGTGAGCCTCCTCTCTTTCAGTCTCTACAGAGTTATTGGTAAAACAAAAAAAGGCTATGGCTATTATGCTTTTAGAATCATAAAATCATGGCCAACACTTGGGTTTTTATTTATTTATCCAGTTCTGTAATTAATTTTAGGGTTTATTTTTCGATAAACTGATCTGGGTAATTGTTCAACGACGCTTGAAGAATGTCAATTTAGGATTTTGGAGCTTCAATTTAGGATTTTGAAGGTTTATCTTTTTGCCTTTTTGCTGAGGATGATGAGCACCCTTCAGATTACTTCCTGCCAACCTTGCAACTACTTCAGAAACACATCTCAAACTCTCCGCATCTCTTCGAAACCAAAACTAATTCAGCACAAATGCACGGCCGTATTGAAGAACAAGCAATGGAGGGTTGTATCTAAGTACCACCAATCTGCTGGACCTGTATGCTTATTGGGTGGCAAGGGAAAGAATGAAGGTGGTGGTGGTGATGAGGTAAGAGACCTTTCTGCAAGTCCCTCTGCAGGTTACTACAAAATACTTGAATTATATATGCTTCAATTGTGTTCCTTGAAAATGTACTGGAAATTTCATGTGGGCAATAACTAACTGTCTTCAAAGTTTCTGCCTTTTCTTATTGATATCGATTCAAATGGGTAGCCATTTGATCTGCCCACCTAAATTTTTTTCTCTTACTGAGGTTTTGGTGCCTTTCCCCTGGAAATTGATTTATCGTTCTGCTTGGTGTCAATTTTGTGCCTTTCATATGCCTAATTGAATGCCAGTTAAATAGCAGTATTGTGCACGATTAGTCATGTAGTTCTTAAGTTGACTGATGGTTTTATATTCTCATGAGTCTTGTCTTACTCTTAAACATCCCTCCCAAATCCTGTTAAGTAGAGCATATAATATATATTTCCAAATGGTTGAAGAATCTTTGTAAGCATGCAATGTATCATGGCAAAAATCTCTATTCTCACTGCACTTCTTAATGCAATCAGGGTTCCCCCTGGAAGGCTCTTGAGAAAGCGATGGGTAATTTGAAGAAGGAAGGTTCAATAGAGGATGTATTACGTCAGCAGATTGAAAAGAAGGAATTCTATGAAGAGAGAGGCGCCGGCGGTGGTGGTGGTGGCGGCAGTGGCAGGGGCGGCGGCAGCAGTGGTGATGGTGTAGGTGGCTCTGGTGGATCCGAGGATGAAGGCCTTGCTGGAATCTTGGATGAAACACTGCAAGTTATTCTAGCAACTGTTGGATTTATTTTTCTGGTAATAATCTCGCATTCTCTTGAAGGAGGTGCATGCATTATTATGTCTTTTCTTTTTCTCTTGATTAGGCATTTTCAAGTCTTTCCGTGCAAATTCTGTATCTACAATTCACTATCTGTTAAGCTTGTTGTTTTCTCTGAAGTGTGAGATGAAAGACAAGGCACACACACAATGCACATAAGTGAAAGCATCACACCTAACAGAAAACTGGCTCTTAGCTAATTGTAAAGTATCACTCATTGTTAGTGCTCTGCTTGATTACAGCTGTTTATATGAATACTAGTTCCTTGGCACGTGCTTCCTCATGTGGCTAGAGGATTTTCCACTAAACATTCATTGACAATATTGATTCACCTTCAACCTTTGAGTTTTGTTAAAATGCTTGGCCATAGTTTGGATTTTTCTTCCACATTTCTTTGAAATTTACTATGTACCTTAAATCCTGCCTGCTCCTTGTTTGCACCTTTGCTTGCATAAGTGGATGAGAAACCAATTTCCTCCCAAGAATCCATCTATCCATGCTTAACTTGCTGCCATGTGGTAAAAAGGGGATGCCAAATAACTACTGGAAACAGCCCAAGGAATGCAATGTGGAGCTGGTTTTTTTTCCCCCCTATTTGAATTAATCGTTGTGTTTACAAATTATGTTCTTCTCTTTTCTGAAGCAAGTAAAGAACAACTCTTCTGTTTTTTCTTCAGTCTCTCTCATGCAATTTTGAAGTCTAGAGTACCTTCTAAGGTACGATTCGTAGCTTGGATCATTGCTTATGGGAGGATGAGTACTTGTGATGTGCAAAAATGCTGCTGAAAGCTATCTTTTGCTGCTTCACTGTCTCATTGCTCTGTCTTTGTGGCACAGATTGTTTAGGGGGTCTAATGTGGCCTTGGATATTCCAGTTTCATGTAAGGCCTTATTGTATGAGAGGTATAAGTTCTTTCAAGTATTTTTGGGTCTTGTTGACGGAAAGGAATAGGAGGGCTTTCGTGGGAGCTAGGGGTGAGGAGGTGGATCACTTGTGGGATTGGGTTAGATTTTGAGAGTCTGTTTCTTCAGAGTTCAGAGATAATTCTTTTCAGGCTATTTTTTTTCATGACTGGAGTTTTGTTGTGCAAAGCCTATCAACTTCAACGTTTTGCAGTAATAGTTATGATGATTCTTATTAGTTGTAGAAAAGATGGCTAGATAACTCAGTGGAAGTCTTTTCCCCAGTGTTGTACTTTTCATCTTTATAGTAATAAAGGCTTGTTTCTTATCAAAAATAGCACCCTCCCCCCTCCTTTTGCTATTTTATGATATCGAAATTAGAGAATCTGGATGATTACTATTTCCTCTACCCAATATCTATTTACATTTCAAACTGGAATGATTTTCTTGCAGTATTTTTACATCATCAGTGGTGAGGAGTGGACTCGGCTAGCAAAGGACTACCTCAAGTTTGTGTTTTCAGGGTCCAAGAGTATTCGTTTGAATCGTGCCATGTACAAATGGGGAAGGTTCTACAAGCGGCTGACTGAAAAGAAGGAGTATGATAAGTTCTGGTTGGAAAAAGCCATAATCACTACCCCTACTTGGTGGGATAGCCCTGAAAAGTACCGCCATATCGTTAGATCTAATTTAGCATCAGATTCAGATGAATAATCCAAGTCGCATTGTATGACCCTTCCCTCTTCCGTGTGCCATCTCCTTTTTATTTTGGAGGATTGTATAAGTTCCCAGTTCTTTTCTTCTTCTTTTTTGTATGAGTTTTCCAGTTTAAAGCCTACATTTTATTGCTACTTTTGACAGTTAAAGATCCGTAAACGATCAAGTTCTTGTTTTTACTGCAAAAAATTGGCCCCTAGATTGGATATCTGCAATTGTATCATAATAGGAATAGCAGTTGCAGCCAAAACTGAAGGGTTGATTGCTAGAGAATAAGAATTGATTTTCTTGGGTTAAGGTGAATCGGAACTGTATTTATTGGGTTGCAAACTGCATGATTGCGAGTATGAATTTGCGATAACTTTCATTCAAGTCTTTCTGTACAAGAAGCAAAAACTTTGTGGAATGATTAGTAACTTGTAGAATTTTCCCGTGAAAAAGAAGTAAATTACACAAGTTACAAAGAACATATCAAGAAGAGTTGAAACATCACTTTCCTTCTAAGATCTCCCCTAGACATGTTTCAACAAAATGGTTACTCTCCCCACAAAGCTTATTAACCAGAGAACAGCATATGCCTTCCAGTGCATAACCTGTCCTAAACTTAAAGTCTAAAACAAGTAAAGAATTTACCATCCTATCTCTTTGTAAGAGACAATCAACCAGTCTCTCAAAAGTTTCCCGCTTTGGTTTACGCTTACTCTTTAACATTTCTATCAACCATTTGAATCCGTCTGCAGCATCTCCTTGATCACACAATCCAATGATGATATCATCATGAGTACCAACACTTGGTTCTAAATCTCTATTCTTCATATAAGTCCACGAAGTTTTTGCTTCTTGTACGGCTCCAACCTGGCAAAGCCCTTTAATAAGTGGGGTGTACGAGCAAGCTCATGGCTGTAAACCTTGAGTCAGGAGCTCTCGGAGTAAGTTCATACTTTCTACTATCTTGCCCTCCCTACAGAAACCTTGGATTACAGTGTTGTATGTTATCAAA